CCCCAAAACCCCAAAACCCCAAAACCCCAAAACCCCAAAACCCCAAAACCCCAAAACCCCAAGTTTAATAATTTGGATTGAAATTATAAGCATGTCCAATTGTTTTAACCAGGATAATCTAACTCATTGTCTCATCTTTCATTGCCTCTCTGACTGGCTTGAAATATGGATGTAGCATCGCTTCTTTTGGAAGAATTCTCTTGGAATGATCGTAAAGCAAGAGTTTATCCAAGAAATCAAGAGCTTCTTCAGTAACCAAATCTTTATTAGTTGAGTTTATAAAGCAATCCCATGACTTTCTCTTGTGAGACCCCAATTCGTGCTCAAATTCTTCATCAATCTCAATTTGATACTTGTTAAGGTATTTCTTAAGAGCAGCAGTTCCAAGCACTTTTACTATTTTGACAAGTTGGTCAGGATTAGATTTCCCTTTGAAAAATGGTTCTTTTCTGAAAATCATCCCTGCAAGCATGCATCCTAGACTCCACATATCAAGAGAGTAATCGTAGGTTCTATATCCTACTAATAATTCAGGACCCTTGAAGTATCTTGATGCAACTCTGACATTATATTCCTCCCCTTGAAGGTAATATTCAGCAAGTCCCCAATCAATAATCCTCAGTTTCTTCTTGTTATGATCGATCATTACATTATGAGGTTTGATATCTCTATGAATGATTCCTTGTGAGTGACAATAGTCAAGTCCTTTCAGAATCTCATACATATAGTAACGAATATCAAAATCTGTGAAGGTTGAGTAAAGCTCTCTGAAGTCATAGTCACCTATATCTGAGCCAAAGATTTAAATACCTGTATCAACAAATTCAGTGATGAGAGCAGGAGTGCCTGAGGCTTCATCTTTAACAACATCAAGGAGCTGGATTACATTAGTTCCTCCCTTAAGATCATTCAGAATTTTTATCTCTCTTCTAATCTTCTCATCCTTTACTGGCTTGAGGATCTTTACTACTATTCTGTTGTCATTCTTCGCATCTATCCCTTCATAGACTTCAGAGTATTTGCCTCTGCCAATCTTTTTGATCAGTTCATATCCTTCCTGGGAGTAAAAAGTTGGTTCATAAGATCTGTAATCAAAATACTCCTCTCCTTTCTCTTCACAGACACCTGAGTAATATCTGGGCAGGGACACAATATTTTCTTGCGCCATCTATTTCAATAATTATTATTAATATCGGGGTTTTGGGGTTTTGGGGTTTTGGGGTTTTGGGG